TGCTGTCTTGTGAAATAAAACTTATACTCCACACTGCAGCTTCTTCCTCATAGATGCTGCATCACAAATTTATCGCTGCACCTTTGTTGTTTCCATGGAAAATGTTCAGATGAACTCTATTCTTTACTTCCACCCATTCAGACCTTTATAGCTATGTAATGCCATGGTACTACCACAGAGTTGAATCACCCATGTTTCCTCCATATTCCAAATGTAAGTTTTACTCTTACAGCTTTTTCCCCAAAGAACTGCTCAGGTTAACTTCCAGATTTGACTATCTATGTCCCACAAACATAAGGAATATATTTGAATATATTTGATTTCATGCTGCTACCCAAATTTCAATCTGAAATGAATTTGGCAAAAACATTTCAGTTGAAAATGAATTAAACTTTTTTTTAATTAATTTGAGTTGTTTTCTGTTTGGGATCTGACATTTTGATGGCTTTGAGCACATGGAAATTGTTCCATTTTTTTTTTTTTTCAAGTTATCAAAACCTTATTATTAAAGATTTTATATCTTTCTAATTTGATATGTTTTGAACAGCTAAAATTTTTACTAACTGAATCAAATGGTACTGCAATATTTCATCTTTGGCTAGATTCCATATAAATGGAATTAAATCAGACAAAGTGGGGAAACTATTTTATTGTCAACACATTTCACCTCTGTTAGGTAGGTGTCTTCAGGTCAGAATGTGAGATAAATCTTTGTAGATTTTTTTTTTTTTTTAAATGTTAATATCTGTTTGTTAGGATGACATTTTCTGGTTGGAATGAAAAGAAAAAAATCAACAAAAATTTGAGTATTTTGAGTTTTTTTTTTTTTTTTTTTAATTAAAAAAAAAAATTAATTACTCACATTTGTCTTTGCCTACCTAACAAAGGTGAGATGTGTTATCAATAAAAAGGTTTTCCGCTTTGTCAGATTTTTCCGCTTTTATTCAGATTTTATATCCTACTAACATGCATGGTATTAAATGAAAATGCTAAGTATGTCTTTCGTTCTTCTCTCCAAAGAGCTGCTATGTATTGACTCGATTGCCTGTACACATGGCTTGGGCTTGTTTTACAAAATTACCTTCCGTTTTTTTTTTTTATGCATCAATTTGCTTCTGTATTGATTCACAGTAACATGAGCTTTATTTTGCTAATTAGGAACATCAGAAATGTGAAAATGTTGAAAACTGGGCTGTACCTTCGATGACTCACACCATTATTGGAAAATGTTGCCGAGAAGAGGTAATGTGTTAACATTTTCATGATTTTCTTATTTAGTTAATTTGAAAGCAAAATTTATCAATCCTACCCAATTACTTCTTAGATACTTTTATCAGTTTTGAACAGACCCTGATAAATATTGCACATATAATTTACTGTGAATTCTGAATCACCTCAACCGTGACAGGAATTCACATTATTTGTAATTGAGTCATACAACTGCAGTGAGAGAAATTCTCATCATTTGCAGTTTTAAGCCTTTTTCCCTTATTAACTGTACCCTCATGTTATGCTTAGTTTTTATTTTTAAATTAGGACGAAGTTAACTTGCTCTTATGATGTTTCATTATAATATGCTTTTAGTCATATTTTTTTTATCTTTACAATTCTAATTTTTGAAAAATTAAAAGACATTTTCAAAGTTTTAAGTGATTCATTATTTTTATTTTACCTTTTTTCACAATTCAAATGAGAACTGATAATTTTCATTAGCCATTTACTATTTGGACATATTTAATGATGGCAAATAGATGATGCTGTAACTTTTCAATTCTTTTTACAGGATGATGTCATTGGTAATCACACAGCAGCTAAAGTTATTGAGAATGTCACCACAACGCTCGGTTCACATGCACAGGTTAGGGATTTTTTTGGTTAGATTTTGCTCTCTATTTTTTTGTTTTGTTTCGGTGATGTAATGTAGTTTTTTAATTATGTGTTAATAGTTGGTAATGTTGCTATAAATATATTTTCATAATATTTTCTCTTTAAAGAGTTCTTTTCTGATAAGGCTGGCATTGGTAAAATCACCTCACCATTTTTCTATAGATCTATTATTTATGAATCTAACTTATCTCTACCAAATACATAAGAATATATATATATATATATATATATATATATATATATATATATATATATATATATATACACAAAATATGCACAAGATGTACTCTAATGAAAAATTGTTCAAAATATCCTGCAGTGTCTCACTAACCTTTACTTTAACATCCATAATGTTTTCTTACAGTTATTTGAATATTATTTGTTACTTCCTTACACGTGACATGTATCCAATCAAAACATCCTACTGCATCTTATTAATTTTTACACACTTTAGTGTCAAGAATGTTTGCTACACATATTTAAATGTTATGTTACTTCAATACACGACACATAACTAAGCAATGAAATAGCCTAACACACAATTAATCTGCATCTCTTTGCTTTTAATCATTTTTATCTTGATCTCTGAGAAATCTTTAATAAAGTGAAACCTGTTAGATTAACATCTGTTTCCTACTTGTTCGTTTTCCTATCATTTTGTATCTCATATGTTGGCCATTGATTGTTGGCTCCTATATAGAATTCACCCACCCATTCACAGGTATTGTTTTTTTCTCTTGTTCAGACCTTTATAGATATGAAATGCCATGGTACTACCACAGAGTTGAATCACCCATGTTTCCTCTGTATTCTATATGTCAGTTATACTCTTCTAGCTTTTTCCCCAAAGAACTGTTCAGGTTACCTTCCAGATGGTGACATGTCCCGATACACCACCTACTTCACCAGCAGAAAATCTAAAGAGACTGCTTTAGAGACCAACCACCTGTCTATACAGCAGGTTGTATTGGGTTACATGTTACCATTAACAAGCTGAAACTTGACCTGACCTAAAATTTCAATTGTTATATATTTTTCTATTAGTCTATGCCAAATACTTGTTTAACAGTATGCATATACTATACAACATTATTTGCACTAAAAAAAAAAAAAAGAAAATTGAATCTGAAAATCCAAAACTAAATAAGATCTTAAGTTTGGGATTAGAGATTTTAAATTGCTTTATCACGTGGATAAATACCTTTAACCCATTTATACTATTTACATTGTTTGAACTGTTGTCCTCATCTTTATTGTCATATTCATGATGTTTTGGCCATTGTACATTCTGGCCTTCTTCAGGTGATATATGTTGGAATTATTTTATTTTTTGTTCACCTCTGCTGTGGCCAGGTATTGAACTCACAACTCTTTGGATCAAGTCACTGGATTACTTCAACCAATGCTTTTATCCATTAGGACATGTGGAGAGTTGCATTACTAAAGGGAAATAACTGAAACTGAGATATCCAGAAAAGGCATGGCATGTGGAACTAGAACAATCTACCCCAGGTTTGTTTTGAAATTCAGAAGTATATCACCTGAAGAAGGATGGAGTGTACAACGGCTGAAACGTTGTGAATATGACAATGAGGAGGACAACATAAACAACTTTCATTTTTTTTTTTTTTTTTTTTTTTTTTACTATTTCATTACTGAGATGAAGAATTGTTTGATTTCTTGGATTTTTGCGAACTATTGTTTTCATCTAATTCATCTACGTCGATGTACATGCTGAAATGAAATACTAAATTAGGCTTACAGCCACATCATGTTGAAACACTGGTTCCTGTACAATTACTGAAGTTAAGCAATGTTGAGCCTAGTCAGTACCTAGATGGGTGACTGCTTGGAAATACCAGGTGCTGTAAGCTTAGATGCGCCAGTGGTGTAATGGATAATGGCTCTGAATTGTTAATTGGTTAGCAGAGTTCTAATTCCACTTGGGTTCATTATATTGACCTATGCATGCAAGTACCCTTGAGTTCTCTCCCAACAATGAGTTATTTTATAAAACTTGTATCAATAAATCATTATCTTCAAAACAAAAAAATCTCTAAAAAATATTTTCTGGCTCTAAATAACCTGTAAAGGATTAAACTATAGAAAATGATCAATGATTAAAAACAAAATATTAAATTATGAAAAGTGGTATGAACCTGCCATTATAGCCAAATGTCAAAAAACGTCTGACATTGAATATAAAATGCTCCACAAAACACACCACGAATGTCCTTCAGGATGGCAGCATAGTTGATATAGGAGTTGGTTATACATGTGTTGTTGACCTCTAGTAGTTTCAATCCTTGGATCTGGAAGTGACACACCAATTCAGCAGGAATGAACAATAACTGATGTCACAGGGACAAAATATCCCAACAGTTAACAGATATCCTATAGCTGACCACTCAATGGACACCTGATGATGACCAGAGAGTATTTGGTCAAAACGTGTTTATAATAACATCTCTATTAACCAAGATAAGAACAATACTTTGAAATAATACAAGAATAAAACCTTCCTTGTCTAAGATTTGATCAAACTTCTAATAAAGGATTTCTGTTCAATAAGCATTTTATTTTGTCCTGCACTTAACTGTAAGGGTGAGGCAAGTCATGTGGATCTGTAAAATGAATGTACTAATTATTGCATTATCTCAGGTGCCTTATCTGTAGAATGTGTTATAATGTGTGTAATGTTTTTCATTCCTTAACAGAAATTTGCAACAAATGATATTGGACAATCTCTCTGGTATCTCTACAAACATACAACAATGGATTCTCTCCAGATAACAGCCTTATTGGTAATTATCATTTCATGATCTGTTCTTTCCATCTTGGAAACTGATGGATGTTTTTTATTTATTGTACAAGTTCTAATATTTATAGTTCATAGTCATGATTTTTTTCTTTTTAAATATTGTCCATGTCTGAAAAATAAATTTAAACCAACTTCTGCAGTGCAGAATCATTCCTCATTGAGAAGTCTCCTTATATACTCTGCCTCTCTCTTAACTCATTTATCCCTTACTCTGACTTCTTGATCCTTGGTTATCTTCCTCTCGTTAGAAAAGCATTTTCTATCTTTTCTCTCTAAGCTATTGTCTAGAAATCTGCTGATAGCACATTGTATAAAGTGATTAATTAAGTAGAAGAAGAAAAATGCTCATATTTCTTGTTAATATCTTAATGGCATCGAAAATCTCTGATTTGACACTATTACATTCCATTACAGGCATTGTGTCGTATCACAAGACTATCAATTGGAGTCTTCCAAAATATTTTGGATTCAGCCGGCATATCAGGATTACTTGAAACATTCTCCAGTGGGATCACCAGAATACAACAAGCAGTCATTACAATGTTTGGTGCTCTTCTTGCTTCTGGTCACTCTATCCCGCGCTTTTTACAGGAGAAAGTAAGTGCACTGCTTTGAAAGCATTGAAGATTTTTGTGTGTGTGTGTGTGGGTGTATATATGCATGCATGCACAGCATAGAACAGATGTATTTTGCAAAAAAGGTATTTGTAAAAATTTCAGAGAGAGTATACCTGTAAAAGGACAATATGGATAATGACAAAAGGAAAACTTAACTTGGTCAACATATTTCATCCTCTGAGTAATGAGTATTTATATACAAAAGTAAACATAACATTTTTGCTCTTGTATATAAATACTTATCAAATAAAATCCTTGCATTTGCCTTGATAAAATTCTTCAGATGACAAAACATGTCAGCTCAGATGAATTTTCCTTCTGTCCTTCTATATCAAAAGAAACATTTTCTGTTCTAATGCATTCCATCCCCTGATAGACCTTATCAAACTAAATGTGGAGATTTTATTTTGTAACTTGTATTTTGATGCAGAAGGGAAAAAGTTCTGAAATGTTCAATTTGAGAAATCTGTAAAATATTTTTAAAGCTTGCTGTGTATGGAAAGTTAAACTATATAGAATGCTAAGTGATGTAATTTATTGATTTTTTTTTGATTTTTTTTATTTTTTTTTTTTTATATATATATATATATATATATATGTATAAACTTATGGCAATAGCACATTGAAGAATCAGTTCTCATTCAATCATAGAAGTTGAGAAACATTATGCCTGGTCAGTACCTTGATGGGTAACCACTTGGGAATGGTAGGTGCTGTAGGTGCTTTGATGTGTGGGTTGTGTAATGGATAATGGCTTGGAGTGAGAAATTGGAGAGCTGAATTCAAAATTCAGTTTCTGTTTGCTACATTCAATTGTGAATGTTATGAAGTCATCTCTTCTTCCTCCAGCTATGGGTTAAATAGCAGGCTAGTGTGCCCTATAGACTTGGTTGGCAACTAGTCTAACACAAAAAGTAACAACAGGAATTCTTTTTGCCAAGTCAATCATGAATTGAAGAGATACATAATCACCAAAGCTTCAAATCCATCATGGTGTGCATTGTATGGTTTTGGAATGTTTCTATTTGAACTGAGAGTTTTTTAGTATGTCTCACGCAATCTAAATGATACAAATGTATATCGTGTATGCCTTTGTTTTGTTGATGTCAGCATTTGCTTTGTTTTCTAAAAGCAGCTCACCCAATTGCAAGGCATATAATATGGAATTTTTCAACATGCTTATCTTTGAAAAAAAAATTACATTTATTGAAGTATTTGCATTTAACAAGCACCAGAACTAACAAGCTGAATACATACACTTTTCTTTCTTTCTTTCATATATAGAATTTTCTTACACAAATTATTCACCTTCTTGACCACCCATCCGATGTGATCAGAGGCAAAACCTTCCTTGTAATCAGTCAACTGATAAAATATAGTCATAAAATGCTACTTCCCTGTTGCCAGTCAAGGTGAGAATCTTATTTCTATGTTGCATTTGTTAACTGTTCACGTGTCATATATGGAGGAATGTACAATTGGAACATGGGGGCAGGGTAAGTGATTAGACTCTGTGGAAGTAGTCTTAAATGTTTGAACTTTGGGAGCTAAAAATTGGAGTTCATCTGAAGAGTTTGTTTGTTTTTTTTTGTTTCTTTTCTTTATTTCTTTTCCTATAAAAATACCGCTACTCATAATGTTTCATTTCACCTTAAGCAGTCAACGTAACTGACAAAATTCAATAGGTGGTGAGATTTTCTTCAACCACTGCAGTTTTTTCACAACAAGAATCTGCAGTGTTATTGGTCCTGACCTGGCATCTTGCCTTTTGTCACTTTCCTACTGCTTTAATGTAGCTTCCCTGTGCCTTTTCCATAAATACTTTTATGGTGATTGTTTGGACAAATTTTCATCTGTGGTATCTAAACTTCTTGAATTCAAGTGCAATACTAGATCGGTGGCAAGGGTTTGTCATTTTGCAATTGAAATGGCTTACATGTACTTGTAAATTCTATTCTAACAGTTTCTTCGATTGCACTTCTTGTCAAACTCTCTTTTAGTTTCTTGCTTTCCAATCAAGTTCCATCTTCAAAAATTTAAATGCAGTGTCAATCGTTATTTGTCTTAGTTCTTGTTCTTTTATTGTTCTCATTCCTTAATAGTGTTTTTTTGAGTTCCCCCTCCCATATTTTCTTAGTGGCTTTATTGCCTTGCTTGCAGTAAAATGATTAATAAAATGAATGTCATATCTATTAATGATTTAGTGTAAACTATAAAGCTGACTTGGGATTGATGTCTGAGATCTTTCAGAAATGATACAAGACTTTCCAAATGCATAATATTAGGATCATACTCTCGTCGACTCGATGAGACTGTTTCTTCCAAAAAAAAAATTTTTGATATTTTATTCTTTTTAAATTTGCTTACACAAGTTATTTAAATATTTACAAAAAATAATCTAATGTAATAAAGTAATGATGTTTGCTGTCTGTTAGTATAAGAATCAATTTAATATGTTGATAGAAGTTAAATATTATATCACTCACTTTCTCACGCACATACAGACATTTCAATAAAAATTTAGCATCCAGCCCTGTAAAATCTTTCCTCAAATTGTTTGTCATACACGAACCACCTTGATAGGTGTGATATAAATCCTGTCCTGCATCAACAAGAAAATACAGTTATGTTTGTGTGTTTGTAGGACGTATAATAGTATCTGAGACAAAGTGGAAAATTTATTAATGACTCGTTTCACTACATTCTAACCTGGGGAAGCCAAAGGGAGCACTCACTCTTGGTGAAACACATTGTTAATAAATTTTTCAGTTCATCTCCTCATCTTCATACACACACACACACACACACACACACACACACACACACTTTCTGTTGGCCAGTTCTTCTTTGTTTACTATTGGAATGTGTTTGTTTATTTATTTTTTTCATTTTTTTTTTTTTTTTTTTTTTTTTTTAGGCTTGTGATGTACATTGAAAGAGATAGTCGTCAAACTTACAGCACCCCAGATGGAGATATTCGTGAAGGAGCCGAATATTTAGCATCCTGTTTGAAAATACTTTCTGAATGTATTGTTCAGGCCATTCCCCTTTTAATGGGTACAGTATTTTCTCTCCTGCTTTCCTCCACCAATCAATTTTTGTCAGATTCTACAAACACAAATATTCTCCATAGAGGTTGATATGTCGCTAAAGAAAACTAACCAATAAAACAAAGAGTATTCTCTTTGAGTTTTTTTTTTATTTTTTGTGCTAAAAGTTATAAACAATTTGATGTGATGAACGTTTTTTTCTTTTTAAATTTTTAAAACTGCCAACATTTCAGCCTTTTGTTGATGTTCATTCATTTGATGGGTGGAATATAAAACTTTTTTCAAGTTACATATAGACCAAGCCATAATGGAATTTCATGTCATCAAAATCTTTTGTGTGTGTGTGTGATTTGTTTTCCTTTATTTACTTAACTGAATACTTGTCCTACAAACAGAAAAAGTTGTCATAGAGAAGTTCTCCTTATTCTCTAAAATGACTGTATAAACAATATTATCAGGGAGTTATTTTTTAGTTCATTTTGTCCATTTGAATTTCCTAATCTGGACATAGTTACATAGCAAACTATGAGAGAAACATTTGGACAATTTTCTGTTTATAATAATAATAATAATAATAAATGAAAACTTATTCAGCAAACTTTTTTTTTTTACTTGTTTAAATAATTTGGTAGTTTTAACAAAATCTGATTAAACAAATTATTTTGACTTATTTAGATAATTCTAAAAATCTTTTTTCCAGCTCTATTTGACTAATTTGTAGTAATGTAAAATATCAGTCAACAACAATGCTTATTTTGAATGGTGTAGGTTTTCTAACTTACAACTGAATTTTGACAAGGCAAATATGAATTCTTTCTATAAAAACACAAATTTAGAGAAACATTAAACTTAATAATGTTTAACCTTTTTTACCTGAAAAAAAATGAAACAATGTGTCAAAAGGGCAGTTATTCCCTTGACACCGCTATTTCTGTATATTAAGGCAGTGAATTGGTTAACGAAGTATGTTTAGCGTATAATATTATAGTAACTACAAATATACTACCAGGAATTTGACAACCATCTTGGATTAATATATTTACTTAATTGAGCAGTGTCAGTAATTAAATATTTAAATATATCCACTGGAATTGTGAAGTGATATCAAAAAGCTTCAAGACTAGAATTTCTTGGCATGTTCTTTAATCAATTGAAATCAGGCGACCGAATTGAAGAATTGTTGGCCAGTGGGCTTTCTGGATGAATTCATGTTTATTTGTACAATCACCAAAGTTAAGCAAAATCGGGCCTGGTCAGTACCTAGATGGGTGACCATTTTGGAATACCAGGTGCTGTAAGGTTGGATGTGTGTGTAGTCTAATGGGGAATGGCTTGGAAATGTTAATCAGAGAATCAAGTTCTTGTTGTGTTCATTATATTCACTTAGATGCAAAATATCCTTGGGAAAAGTATGAATCCTTTTCTCCCTCTTTCTATGGGTTAATTAGTAAGACTTTTATCACTAAAACTATCTCCAAAAAAATAAATAAAATAAAAATCGCATGCAGAATATTCAAATTTCAGCATTAAATAATCCATAGATGTTGATACATTGCTAAAACAACCAGCCAACCAAAATCCTTTTTATTTTTTATTTAGAATTTTGCACATTACTGCAATCTTTTATAAATCCACAAATTTGCTTATTAATCCAACAAAGCAAAAAAAAAACTTAATTTTTCAGAGGAAATTCTTTCAGCTTTGGATCCCATAACAGGACGGCAACATGTGTCCAGTGCTCTAGTCATTAAACAACTACGTACCGCTCTCCCACAAGTGGCTGTTTTCCAGTATTTTACTTCAAGTGCTGTGAGTCTGTCTTTTTTATTTTTTATGTTTGTTTCACATTGTCCATCATACAGAGCCACTTTGTTTTCTTCAATTCCTAAGATAAGGTTTTAAGTGTTTTGTACCTTGCAGATTTTTCGTGCAAGAGTTGTAGATGATACGTTCTGCAGAAATCTTGGGGATTTGCTGATCCATGTGAAAAGTATTGAGATTCATGGAACAAACATTGATGCTACGATTGGTAAGTTTCTTTCAAAACCAGAATGTTGTTAAAATAAAGAGATATAAACTTATGTCTTGTGATATAATCGCTTTATTTTCTTCAACAGAATTTAAGAGAAAAAAAATGGCTAATGTATAAATTCTATGAATTTGTTGTGGATTTGAATTAACCCACAACAAAGAAAAAGGCGAGAAAGGTTTTTAAAAATCAGAATATAGAATACTTTTATTTTCGTGTTTTTTATAACTAATTTTTTTGCAATGTGTATGATGAATGTTCTTACAGTCTTTGTTTGTAGTTTTTTAAGATGAAAAGAAATGTGAACCACTTACAAGGCTGTCTAAATGCTTTTGAACTCTGTCAAGACTTGAAAGAGAAGATTGGTAGCTCCAGCACAGATATGGCAACAATACACTACTTTTGGTTGGATCTGACTCTCGTAAAGATGGCAGGTGGAGTCAGGTACTTTCTTGAGCAGTATAAGGAGCTGACCATTTTTCCAGAATTGCTAGTGCAAGGTTGTATCTACAAGTTCACTTGAGGTCTGAGATATAAGAAAAAAATCTCTCTTCATCACATGTCTGGATGTATACGTGACACAGCAGTTAATAGCACAAAAAAAAATTGAATTGTTAAGCAGAGTTCAAATTCAAGCTGAAGCTGAAGTTCACACTGATGTCCTTAGAAAAGGCATGAATACATCTCTTCACCTTCTTCATGCACCATATTCTTTCAGGATGATGGTGATCATGGTTCTCCACAACTTCCTGTCTTTCATTGCTCTTTGTAACTTGTGACCCATCACCATCAATTCTGGCTCTTACAATTCAATGGCAGGTTACTTACTGTTTTTTTTCTCTGCTCTTATTTTTTTTTTTGGCTTTCTAACATCCTGTGAATGTTAGACTCTCTAAACCCTCTTTCCTCAGACATTTCAACTGTTTTCTCCCACCAGCTATGGATAAAATGGTAGGACAGTTTGGACTCTAACATTGGTCAAGCTCCTAGGCTCTGTTGAAGGAAAAAACTGAATTCAAAACTAAAGGAGACTACAGGAAAACCCTTTACTATCTTTCCCAAAAGGAGTCATCACAATTCAGATGTTAAAGTGAAGGCGGCTGTGGCGAGCCATGGATATCTACTTTTGCCTATGTTCTGAAAAACATGACATTAAAAAAAAAGTCCTTGAAGTATGATCTTTACTTTTACAAATTGGAATTAATCAAGAAAGCTCTCTTTAGTTTGTTGGATTATTTAGCATTAAAAGAGTTTTGGCACAACATCTTTAGAACTCATTTTGCATTACCCAGATCATTTAAAATATTTCTAATAGGCATTGACTTGTAACCTTTACTTGTCTATGGCTAGCACAAAAACAAGCCGTTTATCTCAACCTTGAAAAAATTTTGAAGCTAGTTCTACACAAAACTTTTTTTTTTTTAACTTGCATCTGACTAGCATCAGGTTGAGTAACTGCTTGGGAATATAAGGTGCTGTCAATCAGGATATGCAGGCAGTACAATGAATAACAGTTCAGAATTGAAAATCTGAGAGTGGAGTTCCAATGCCAGTTAGGTTCATTATATTCCCTTAAGCACAAATACTCTTGGGAAAGGTATTGAATCTACCTCATCTCCCTCCAACTAATAGTTAATTAATAGGTCTTGTTTCAGTAAATTCTTACTTTCTCCAGAAAAATTCTTACCTAAAAATATTTTCTGGCTTTAAATGACCTACAAAAGGGTTAATAAGCTGTAAAAAAAAAAAAAAACAATTCAATCAATCCTGGCATCATTTCAAACTGATACCACTCCCCACCTCAATATATCTAATCTATAATTATAAAAATGAATTATGAAAATTTCACTGAAATATGTTGGAAAATTTTCAAGTTGAGAAAATATGAGTTTTTATTGCTTTTAAGATTCTTTTGGAAATCTACAACTTTGTAAAAGTTTTATGGTTTTCCAGCGCTTTTAGTTACTCATGTGAAAAGTGTTACTGCTGTGTGTTGAAATACAGTGCTTCCAAATTGTGGCTGCATTCAAGCCTGTGAAACTTGCAAGTACATTTCAGTGCTTTCAGCCTTCAAAAATGGTCATGTCATATGGAGAAAGGGTGTGTCAGTTTAAACTGGCACCAGGAGGATATGATTTAAATATTCATCTCTTTTGTTTTCTTCCATCTCATCTCTTGCAGGACCTGGAAGCACGTCTGAATTTGTCAATGAGATTGTGTCAACAATCTATACAATCACCCAGCACCCAGTTCTACTACAAGAACATTATGATGTGATTACAGGAATTTTGTTAAGAACCTTAGTCGAGTTAACTGCTTGTCAGAACGGTAAGTTTTGCTAATACTCAAAGACTGAAATATTAACAAGATATTCCCCCCACCCAATTAATAAATGAGAATTTCTAATTAATTTTATCGAATTGATAGTTTCATGATTAAGAACATGAAGTTTTTAATTAAGCAAAAGATTTAATAACTTTTAGACTTACTATCTTGTTTCTTTTTCTTTTTTATCAGCTCCAACTCGTGAATCCTGCTTATGGTTAGTAGCTGAAATGGCATCAGTTTACCTTGGACATGATCTCACAGGCCGGAAAGGTGGACAGTTGACCAGAAAACTTCACAGCATGGTTGAAGAATATCTTCTCCCTCAGTAATTTTATTTTTGTTTTAATTTCTTAAAACTTACAATCCTATATATATCATCCTGCATGTTCATATGTATGACTATCAGTGCATAGTATCTGTGCCTGTCCCCCAGCCCTTCTTAGCTGGAAATGATTATGCTTTCTCACCAAGAAAACCCTATAATATTAACCAAGGTGGAATTGGAACAAAAAAAAAGGTGGGGCGAGTAAGGTTGGGAGAGTTATAGCAAGTGGAGACAGAAAAAAATGTGAGGTAGTAAACAGATGAAAGGAGTTTAGGAAAAGTCCTCAGCCCAACTAAGGAATCTCTTATTAGGAGCTACAAAAGAAGGGGAAATTGTGGAGAGCCATGATTGGCACGAAGCCTGTATTGGATGAGCATGAGAATGAATGGTAAAATGTGAATGTCTGTTTGTACTGTTTGTTTATATTAAATGTCTTAAAAAATATTATCTGCTATAATTCATTGCTTTTTAAAAGCTTCTTTTTTTTCTATACTGAAGTAATCATGGTTAGAAGAATAACTTAATTTCTTGAAATGGTTTGAAAAAGTAGCTTACTAGTAATGAACTGCTTTGTTCATTTTATTAGTCCTTGTTTTTTGGAAAGTTTCTCTCAACGTCTCACGTTGTGATCAAATAACAATTCCACGAATGGCACTATTCTGATTTTCAACATTTTTTTTGAACAGATGTGAACAAATCCTCTTGGATCAAGACCCTCTTCCAAGCTATGCTCTCAAACTGTTAGCAGTTTTGCTCAGTCATAGTCCGAGCTTTATCAAGCAAATCGCAAAGCACGGTCTTATTCCTGTCATCTTTCAAGTTTTAATAGTAAGTCATCTTATACATTTTGCCATTATTTTCATCTCCCCCAATCTTTAGGTCAAAATTTTTTTAGATGAATTGTTAACATTATAGAAGTCATTGTCTAGACCAGCATGCTCACATCAATTCTTGTCCTCAAGAAAGAAATTGGCCGTTGTACTTCCAAGTTACAGAATATAATAACAAACATCTGAAGAAGTCCAGAGAGTGCAATGACTGAAACACTGTCTCATTCCCTTCATATTCCATTAGTAAAAAGGAAATTCCACTCGGACAACTTCCCAAGAAACACTACTCTTCGGAACAGACTCCCAAGAGAATGCTTCCCCAATCACTACAATCTTAACCTCTTTGCATCTACGTTCAACAGTTATGTATCCTATATATGCTCATAATCTGCACTTATTTTCTCTTATATCCATGCAACAGCATCATTCTGGTATCCCTCTACATTGAGTGACTCTTGAGCCTAGTATTGATTGAGCATTCTGATCTGAAGGATAAAACCTATGTAGCATTGCAGCCCAGACCAGACACCAGGTTCATTCTCAGGGTGAATCTTCTTCCAGTCAAATGCTAATGGCTTAAAAAATAACTCTTTGGCCAGATTGTTACCCACAAAACAAAACCATGAGACAATTGTAGCAGTAGGCAAATTTTATTAATTTGTAACGTTCTGCTGTAGATGAGCAAGGCAGAGATAAACAGTCTAATGGGTATGTCTTCCTTTTTACATCACAGCAATAAACATACTCACATCAAAATATTATGCATCTGTTAAATACTACTTTTCTGTATACTTCAAGATTGATTTTCCTGTCCCACCAGTGCATAAATGCCCACCTTGATCAAGGTGCCCCTTATTGACTGGAGCCACTTGTGTAACAAAAGCGTCAGCTAGGTAGAATTTCTTCCCAGATCAAAATATTGTATGAAGGAGCCAAGTTAGAACTATACCATAGTCGATCTCGACCATATCACTGGATCCACTCTTATGTCAGGTTGGTCATCTGTGGAATGTTGTTGTCATGCAGAAAGTTCTGGCATCTTTCTGAAAATATCCTGTTTTCTTTAAGCAATGAACGTCTCTCAGTCTGTCTTGTAAGTCTACAAGCAGCAAGCTTTTCGCTTCCTAGAATAAATTTGTTGTCAATTATTGGAAGCTGATCTCTCCTTTGATCTAGCTTTAACAACTCGGAGGGGGAAAGCTAGCTGGTCACACTGAATGCCTTGAAAATCCAACTCTTCATGTTGGATGTGTGGGTGGTGTAATGGAAAATGGCTCAGAATTGTTACTTGGAGAGCAGTGTTCCATTTTCCCATTGTGTTATATTCACTTACATGCAAATAACCTTTGGAAAAGGTATGAATCCACCTCTTTTCCCCACCCCCAGCTATGTGTTAATTATTAAGACTTGTATTGCTAAACCATTATTACCTCAAAAACAAAATTCTGATAATCTAAAGATATTTTGTGGCTTTAAATAACCTTCAAATTGCTGATAAGCTGTAGAAAACAAATCAGTCAATCAAACAGTACAATCTTAACCTGTTCAAGTTTAGGGTCTTCCCAACACAACCCCATAAATTGTGCCTCTTACTTTGTAACCATCTACCTCTTGGCACCTTGTACAGGTGAACATCATTGTAAAAAAAAAAAAAAAAAAAAAAAATTGTTGGAGGAGATCAATGACAATGGCTGCATCTAAATCATGGAATTAGTCTTGACTCTTTTGATTATCTTCTGTTTGAGCTTCTCAAGTGACATCCCCGAAGCATTTCTACACAAAAGTCACTGTTGTTGCTGAAGTGCAAGAGAGGCAGTCACTTGGTGCTATATTCTTCACTCATGTACTAATGGGAGATGTGCATTTATCTTGATGGCAACAAGGTGGCAATGTAACAAAAGAGTAGTGCTACAATATGTACAGGTTTGTTTTTTAATTTTTTTCATCTCACAGATGTGTCGTCGTCTCTCTCTGTCTTTTCTACAAATACTTTCATGGTAATTGCTCTGCTGAGCTGCTTTCACTGGTTCCCAGACTTCATGAATTCAAGCGCCCTACGAGACTGGCATCCCACTCTCACCCTTACACTGTAGAAACTTTTAAATGTAGCCGTCACTTCTACTCCAATAGCTTCATACCTCACACCTCTCGTCTGTGGAACACTCTTCCCAATTACTGTTTCCCTGAGAGCTATAATCTCCAACTATTCAAATGTAATGTCAATCAACATCTCCAGTTACCTTGATCTATCTACTATCCCTCTCCTCATCCTTTCTTCTATCACTCCTATCTGCTCTCGCTCCAAATCTTCTGCAACCCCCTGCATCCTAGTGGCTTCATGCCTTGCTCAGGGCGTAATGCTTAAAAAAAAATAAAATAAAAAAAATAACAAATATATTGGCTTAGTAAATAGTTATATCTTACTTTATATGGATTTTATATTTACTAAACCAACATATTTATTACTCTACATTATTCCTTTATATAGGCAAGTGGCGTAATGGTTAGAACATTAGCATTCTGACAATGAGATCCAGATTCAAACCCTACCATGGTTTATTTGATTTATTTAGGTAGTAACTTTTTGATAATATCAGTCTATGGTGATGATCCCAAAATACCACTAGGAAGTGCCAGAAAACCATACCATGTGTTGACCCTCTAAGCTTGTGATATAAATTGGGTAGATGAAACTGTTTGGAAGCCATTGGAAGTCACAAGCCATCGTGACTGAGTTTTGAGCATACTAGCTTTGTTTAAATGAAATTGTGTGTTCTCTGCTTGAAACTAACTATTGATCTGCTCATCATAGCCAAAATATAAACCACAAGTTGGGTCTGTAGGTGTTGAAAAAAAACGAAATATGCCTGAGGAGGCATCTGCAACAGGTATTAGCTAGCTACCTTTGGAAATGGGTTGCCAGCCATTGCTTACTTCTGTCTTATTTGGCAGACATTCTTCATGTTTCAGCCTAATCTTGGCTTCTCATTTTCCATCTTTGAGCTGTTTAAGAATTTAAACTTTCTTTCTCTCAATTAAACAGAAAGCTAAAATTCTTCAATATTCTTGTATTATTTCAAACTATTGTTCTCTTCTTAGTTGATATGGATGTTATTATAGACACAATGTTTCGACCAAGTGCACTCTGGTCATCATCAGTTATCTGTCGATTGGCTGATATGGGATATCTGTTGATTGTCATAATTTGACAAAATCTCACAATCAACAGATATCAAATCAATGGACACCTGATAACGACTGGAGATTACTTGGCCAAAACGTTGTCTGTATATCTGTCAATATTTTGGAGATAAGGTATTGTAACTATTTATACTGTTTACATTGTTTAGACTGTTCTTTTCTTTATTGTCATATTCACAACGTTTCGGCCTTTGTATGCTCCATCCTTCTTCAGGTTATATACGTTAGAATTTTGAACTGAACCCTTTATTTAGTCTACCAGGGAAGACTGTTCTAGTTTCACATGCCGTTCATCTTCCAGATATCTCAGTTTCAGTTATTTCCCTTCAATAACTCAACTCTCCAAGTTGAAAAATGGAAATAAGTGGAAATAAATTCCTGAAACTGAGATATCCAGAAAAGGCCTGGCACATGGAACTAGAACAATCTACCCTACTGGACTAAACAAAGGGTTCAGTTCAAAATACCAGCATATATCACCTGAAGGCTGGAGCATACAAAGGCTGAAATGTTGGGAATAATCAATAAAGATGAGGACAACAGTCCAAACAATGACAATAACATCTATGTGCTATTATTTGAAATAATAAAAGAATATTGACAATTCATCTCTGAAATGAAATACTAAATTACTTGATTTATTTTTCATATATTGTTGTCTTCAAATTTTTTAGTTCAATTCTAGTATACTAATGCATTCTTTTTGTTTTTGTTTAATAATATATAGGATTACCAACATAATCCTCTTTGCAGTTCAGTGAAGACAATTGTAAAGATTCTTAATTGTATTGTGGGTCAAAGAGATACGGATATGAATGACTTGTATGAACAAGGTAAGTTAAAAAAAAAAAAAAAAGGAGTAGTATTTTATACAGAATAAACTCTGAGCTTTTTCAACAATTTAAAAGTATTAACAATTCAATATTGAAACACACACAAATATTTCTTTCATTCTGATCTGAACAAGCTTATCTAACAATGACAAAACACGTAATCAAGTCAAGTTTTTCACTTGTCAGTATATATATATATATATATATATATATAGTGTATATTTAGGCAGCAATTTTTCATTAATGCATGTTTCATTAAATAACATAGACAAGTTTTGTCTATTTATTTTAAATAAGTTCCTTTCATATTGTCTGATAAGCTTAATCAATTATCGTTGTAACGAAAAGGAAAACACCATATTATAGATGTTTAAATCAAGAAAGCTCCTATACTTAAGCCATTATCAAAGATTTCAATTTCAATAAATCAAACAGCGGACAAAACAACAATGCTAGTCCGCCCTTTTTGCATGAAAATTTCGTAACATGACAAACTCATATATTTGAAATTTGGATGCAGCAAGAGCAGACTTAATACATTGTTTTTTCATCCGTGTGGTTGTTTGATTTATTGAAATTGTCATCTTTCGATATATGAGTTTGTGTAACTTGAAATTTTAGGTTGGATTTAACTATCATTATCAATATGGTGTTTTTCCCTTCGTCTTTCAAACAATAATGTGATTAAGCTTATCAGACAATATGAAAAGAACTTATTTTAAAATAAATAGACAAAACTTGTCTATATTATTTAATGAAACATATATATATATATATATATATATATATATATATATATATATATATATATATATATGGTACTATTACCCACTTCCTTGTTCAGTATTAATTGACCATAAGCCAGTACTTTGCTTGAAATTTATGATCTTTCCCACCAGTTTTCATACAATTACCAAAGTTAAGCAATTTTGGTACTGGTCAGTACCTGGATAGGAATACCAGGTACTGTAAGTTTAGATGTGCAGGTGGTGTAATGGATAATGGCTTGGAATTGTTAATTGGTGAGCTAGAGTTCCAATTCCCATTGGGTTTGTTATATTCACTTACACACACGTACCCTTGGAAAGGTCTGAATCACTCTCCCCAGCACCTATAAGTTAATTAGTAATTAGTCTTGTATCACTAGACCTTTATTATCTCCAAATTCTCCAATCTAAAAATATTTTTTGGCCTTAAATAACCTTTAAAGCTGTAGAAAATGAATCAATCTATCTTTCTCTTAAATCGATTTTTCAAGAAAATAGGTTTCTCAAGTCCAGTAGTTATTGCTCTTTCCAGTATTGAGAGGGGGAGCTTCCTTACCTTTAGTTTGAAACAGTGTAGGATGTCAATATCTATATTATCTTATTATTCTCTCTTTGAATTACATGTACTATCCATTTTAGTTGCTACTGCTGTTGAAAGTCCTCAAGTGATATCGTTGAATATGACAATCTTAACCTCTTCAGCCCATATAAATGACTTGATGAAATAATCAGCTGCAATAAACAGAAAGTTCCCTCTTTTTCAGGTTTCATTGACCAACTGATTGGACTGATTATGGCTGTTGTTCCCTGTTGCCTGGACGAAGGAGACACGAGATATAAAATGTCAGTGGAGATGCTGCAGAATCTACTCAATACACTTCAGGCAAACTTGAAATATTTGTTTGATGTTGTCAAGAAAGCTATCCAGGTTGGTCTTGCATTACGTTTTAGACTTGATTCAATAGAATGTGAATGCACAGTTTTACCTTTGCTTTCTATAATTCTTCGGCTGGCCATGCAAAAACCACATTGCTTTTCAAGAATGTTATCCAGTATTTTAAAAAGAATTTTGATTTTATTTTATGCATGCATATAAATGTCAATTTTTTTTATGTCTTTGCAAATATGGGTGCACCATCAATGATATGATATGATATATAGGTGCACCTCCAAATCTAGTGATGACCAGAGATTGGCAGCTGATCTCTCATCTGATCCAACTCAGTCCAGGGGAGAAAAATTGGATGGTCAAATTCAATGCCTCAAAAACAAAACTAGTTACATTCATCATTGCTAGTCGGACCCAAACTACCACCAGTCATGATGAATGGATGTCCCCTTGGGCAAAGCCCCTGCCTTCAGTGACTGTTGTGCCTTAAACTCACCCCAGCCCACAAGTAGAATTTGTACATATGATCCATCATAAGGATACATGAAAAATGGTCAGTTCCTGTACCACTCCAGTAAGTACCTGACTCCTGGTACTATCCTCTACCTTTACAAGAGCCAGATCAGGCTTAAAATGGATTACTGTTGTCATATTTGGGCAGTAGCTGCCCAGTCCTCACTTTCCAGTCTTGATAGTATCCAAAAACATCTCTGCATCCTTGTCGGTGACAAATTATTTTTCAAACTGCAACCCCTTCTTTCACAGATGGAATGTGGCAAGCCTTTCACTGCTCGATTGCTATTTCATTCTGCATTCCTTGGTTCCACCAGTTCAAACCTTCATGGCTAGGACCTACCATGCTACTCACATTGTATCAAACAACCTTCAGTCTCCCTGTTTTCTCTTTGGTGAGAAATTCAACTCAAGCAGCTTCTTCCTGTGTACCACTGCTATGTTGAACCGACTCCTTACAGGATGTTTCCTTGATCACTACAATCTTAACCTGTTTCAGTTTTGGATTAACTATTATCTTCCCAACATTCATATAAAATGTGCTTCTTACACCACAACCCTCTACTTTGAGTGGCTCCTGGGCTTTGTGCAAGGTGAACCTAACTGTAAAAAAAAAAAGTTTCTCAACAAGCATCTTTGTTAGTAAGGCTGTAAAGCCAAAGTATCTAATATATTAGATTGCTTAAAATATTTTCAAAATTTTTAAGATTATTGGGTAGTTAATAAAAATTTTATATATATATATAGACATTCATATTTTATTCAAGTAATTTCTTTTAGCTCTGATCTCCTTACTTAAATTTCCCAAACCTCAGGTAGTTGATAAATCACTCAACACATAAAAAACAACCCCTCCATGTAAAAATAAAAAATAAATATGCTTTTCTGTGATATTTGAATCTAATTTAATATATGTTAAAATTCACATTAATTAAACTTTCAATGATAATTTTCCAAAAATAAATTTCCAGAAAAGTATATTTAATTTTTAAACCTGTCAATATGAACCAATTTATAGATTTTACAGATAAGGAGAGAAAAATATTTTAAACAATTTAGATTCAGTTTGAAATACACCAAAGTATTTTGCTTATTGGAAAGATTAAAATTTTGTCTAGTAATTAGAATTAAAGCTTCAAGAAAGACTTTTAATTTTTTTAAAATGCATTTTAAACTATTTTTAATGTTTATAAAGACATGTTATGTGATTTTATGTGAGATTTATTTTCTGAATTTTTTTTTTTTTACTTTGGATGTACTGCCATATTTTCTAATATTTCAATTCTTTCTTGTTTTTTTTTTGTTTTTTTTCCTAAAATCTTCCTTTTCTTTGTAGGCTAAAAAGCACGGCGCTGAGGACATGAAAGAAAGCCACCATGCTGAACAGTTGCTGCTTCTAAACAAAACATTTATTGAACTTGATTCCATCCTCACACAATTGGTAAGGCTTAACAGTCCACTTATTAATTAGACTTTTCATTGCCACTCCATATAAGATCCTATTGATCAAATCATTCAAATCTTTTTCTTTGATATCAAGTGGCAGGTTTTCTCTTCTATGCAACAGGCAACAATATTTGTTGGTGATTTCTGTTTCTGTCAGTCTGAATTTTGTTTTTTTCCTTGTCAAACCCTGAGCTAACTTTCAATTCAATAGGTTGAGTTCACAGGAAATGGACAGAAGTGACGAAAAACAACAACATAATTCATTTCAAGTAAATGATAGTAACCAAATTCTCTGTTTTTAATTCTTTTTCAACTAAGTAATAATATAACTTCAATATAAGCTGAATTTATAAGTCTGCCTTTTATCCATGCATTGATTATTGTCGTCACATCTGGTCTGTTGTGTTTGCTATGTATTTAGGGATTCCTGATAAAATCTGGCTTACAGCCATATCATGTTGAAACTAGAGTTCTTGTACAATCACCAAAGTTGAGCAATGTCAAACCTGGTCAGTACCTAGATGCGCAACCATTTAGGAATACCAGGTGCTGAATGAATGGGTGCTGTGATGGATAACAATTCCAAATTGGAAGTCTGAGAGTTGAGGAACAATTCCAGCCCGGTTCAATATATATTCACTTATGCGTAAATGCCTTTGGGAAAGATATGAAACCACCACTTCACCCCCAAGATATGGGTTAATTAGTAGGATTTATATTAGTAAATCATTATAATCTCCAAAGATAAAAATATTTTCTGGTTTTAAATAAACTGCAAAGGGTTGATAAGCCATAAAAAAATGAAACTAGTCTTGAAAAAATCCAAAGAATCTGCAGTGTTAGTGAATAACCCCAGTTACTGACTGAGCATGCTGTTGCTTAACTTCATTGATTGGGAGAGAATTGGTGTTTTAATGTGATATAGCTGTAAGCCCCTGGCTGTTCGGCTGATGGATTGCCAAGCATCCCCATAAAAGGAAATAGCTAATTATCCATTTTAATTATCATGCACATATGTCACAAACCCAAAACCTGGAAGTATTTGGTTCAAGAATACAAATCTGGAATCTAAGATAGCATCAAATCTTTGGGTAGCAGATAAAAAAGGATGTTATTGTTGTCAAGTGTAATCTTTGTAAGGTTTGGCAAAGGTATCGAGACCCCTTCACTGTAGCAGAGATTTCCTTCATTCACAGATGGGGGCAAGTACTGCAGTAACAGCAGTTGGGGTTTTCCTTTTGTCGAGAGCTTAATGTAAAGAGTTCAAGCAAATGACATTTCTCAGAACTTTATGCACAGATTGTCTTTTTAATATTTTATTTCTGTTTTTTCTCTTTTTCAGTTATGTCACAATGATTGTGACATTCAAGAACTTGCTACAAAATCCTTGTCACTGATGGCACAGCTTTTTGGCGGAGAAGACAGAGATGCCCTATCTCAAGAAAATATGGTCAGTGTTTGCCACATTCTGGGTTTTGTTTTCTTCATTATTTGAAATAGAATATTCAAAACTTATTTTTGTTGTGTTTTTACTTTGTTTTTGTTTTAGAAACAAAATTAGACAGTTTTCAGTTTTGGCCTTTGTCAGTTTTTAACATTCAGAAAAACATGCCATGTAACATGGAATAAAAATAAATTTCATGAGTTAAAAATCCAAGTGGTTAATTTTGCTTTCTTTCAGAAAAATTGTCCAAAGTATTTTCTTTCATTTGCCTACCACTTGTCGATTTATTATTTTAAACAAAATGATCAAGATATTTTTGAAGAAATAAAAAAAAAAATAAATGGTAATTGTTCTGAGGAACTTTCCTCTGTGGCACCTAGACTTTATGAATTTCAGCTCAGTACTCGATTGGATGCAAGGTCCCATTTTACTTAGTTAAAATGGCTAGATGTAACTGTAAGTTCTACATGAACAATCAAATTCTTCTATCACACTTTTTGCTTGTGAAACTTAGTTCTGGCTTCTTGCTTCCCTGTCAGCTTTGATCTTCAAAAATTCAATGCAATGTCAATCATGATCTTCTGACTTCTTAATTGCTGTTCTTTTATTGTTCTGCCTGCTTAATAGTGTTATTCTTTTCTCATATTACCTAACACTCAGTCACCCCTTGAGTCTTAGTGACTTTAAATTAAGCAACTACATTACAACTAAGATGAATGTCTCTTGTTCTCAATAGCAATGTGTATATGAATGATAATTCCTTGTCTCAAAGATTCCTAAAAGCAAAAGAAAATGACCTTTCATTTTCATTATCTTTGGCAGGTGTTTTTTTGTCAGGCTTTGCAAACTGCTGACAGCAAAAGGCAAAAGGTCATTCTGAGGATTATTAAGCGTTTTGTGAGTACAAAGAATTTGCATCTTTCTTTTCATCTTCTGTTATCATTTTATTAAAATCATAAATATTGGTTGGCAGTTGATTTTAACATGGCAAGTTTTCTTTTAGGTCACTGCTGATAAGTGCCATGCCGACCACCTGACACAGAATGGATCAGAGCTTCTCTCCATTATTCAGTCTCTTTGTCAGAGAGCCAGGTAAGATATTTGGGTTTGGAACTGCAAGTTTTTCTCTCTCCTTTTCTCCCCTCTCTCCTTTTCTCCTCTTTCTCTCTCTCTCTCTCCTTTTCTCCTCTTTCTCTCTCTCTCTCTCCTTTCTCTCTCTCTCTCTCCTCTTTCTCTCTCTTTCTCTCTCTCTCTCCTTTTCTCCTCTTTCTCTCTCTCTCTCCTTTTCTCCTCTTTCTCTCTCTCTCTCCTTTTCTCCTCTTTCTCTCTCTCTCCTTTTCTCCTCTTTCTCTCTCTCTCTCCTTTTCTCCTCTTTCTCTCTCTCTCTCCTTTTCTCCTCTTTCTCTCTCTCTCTCCTTTTCTCCTCTTTCTCTCTCTCTCTCCTTTTCTCCTCTTTCTCTCTCTCTCCTTTTTCTCCTTTTTTCTCTCTCTCTCCTTTTCTCCTCTTTCTCTCTCTCTCTCCTTTTCTCCTCTTTCTCTCTCTCTCTCCTTTTCTCCTCTTTCTCTCTCCATTTTCAAAAATAATATTAAATTTGATTACAATCTCCACTTCCTGTTTTCTTATAATTCCATTATGTTGATGTACATCTTTTTATCACCTTTATTGTAATAACAAGTATTACTTGTTCAAACATTGTCTATTAACAAAAGCAGTTGGAGTTCCATTTTTTCCTTAATGTTTTTTCACTCAACAATAGTAGTCCTTGCTTTGACAGATTATTGTAGACCACTGCTGCTTCTGCCAACCAAGTTTTTATTTTTTTTTAATTTGAATGAATTAATTTTAAGTTTCTATGTCTTGTCTCCAAGTGAATAGGAACAATAATGTTTGCAATTGTTCAAGGTTTCATAAAATAAATCAAGTATTTTTCTTAGTTTTATTTCAGGTTCTAATGGACCCAGGTCTACCATCTCTCTATTGTCACACCATAGGGGTTTATTATTCTAGGGTTTAAGAACAGTTTAACATATTTTGGCAAATTAACTACAAATATAATGTTGTTTTTTGTATTGTTTTTCTTTATACCAAATGAACATTTTTTTCAGTTATTTGCAATTATTATCAAATTCTTGTGAATACATGTTAATTTGAAAATGAAAGTATTAGCATTAAAAATTGTAATTTGTCTGTATTTCTTGAATGGGGAATTATCGTTACATTCAGTTGAACTCAATGTCTTCATCTTTGTTTTTTTACTATCATGTTTTGGCTGTTGTGCCTTCTGGTCTTATTGGATTACAGCAACATCACATTGAAACACTTGTTCGCATACAATCACTGAAGTTGAGCAATGTTGAGCCTGAATGGGTGACCACTTGAGAATACCAGATGCTGTAAGCTTGGATGTGCAGGTGGTGTAATGGATAATGACTTGGAATTGTTAATCAGAAAGCAGTTCCAATTCCTATTGGATTTGTTATATTCACTTATGCACAAATACTCTGAGGAAAAGTATGAATCCACTTTGTCTTCCCTCCAGCTATGGGTTAATTAGTAAGACTTATATTGCTAAACCATTATTGAAAAGAAAATTCTTACAACCTAAAAAATATTTTCTGGCTTTAAATAACCTGCAAAAGGTTGATAAGCCATAGAAAGCAAGTAAAAAAAACAAAACAAACAAAAACAATTCTGGTCTTATTCAGGTATGTGTTGTTCCAGGTAACCTTCAAGGGATTTTGAACAGAACCGTATATTTACTCTATAGTGATAGATTATTCTATTGTCCATGTCTAGAGATAAATTTTCTTGCAGTAACTGAGCAATATTAAGAGAAAAGTAAATAGAAACATAATGACATGATATCCCTAGACATGGACAGCTGAATAAAAACAATCTATCCCCATAAATGAAATAAAGGGTTCAGTTTTTTTAAAAATCCTGCGGGTTACCTGAACCGACATACATTTTGTGATAACAACAACAAAGATGAGGACATTATTTTGACTAATAAAAAAAAAAAAAAAAAAAATTATGAAACTTGCCAAGTTTATGATTGGGAAATTAAAGAAAATTTTTTGTTTGTCTTCCCCATTGCAGTTTTTCTATTTTTATTTATTTTTTTTTCATTTCATTTCATGTGACCAACTTTCTTTGCAGTTCCAGTGCTGATGTTGCCATTACATCCCTGGCATCAGATATTCTGAAAATTGGAAGAGTTTGCAGCCTTAAGTGAAATCAAAAAACAATTCTCCAATAATCAAATAGTGTTTTTTGAATTGAATTCTTTTTACAAATCATATATATATATATATATATATATATATATATATATATATATATATATATATATATATATGTATGTATGTAATGAGTGTATGCAGTTCTGTATTTGTAAGAAATGTATTCTTTTTATGTCTGTTTAGAAAGTATTTTTCCTAAAAATCAAGAGTGCCTCATTCATGACCAATATGTTTCTTCTAAAAAATATATTTTGTTTCAATTCAGCCTGTTATACTAATAGCTGGATTGTTTTTCCATCTATTTATTTCTTGATTATTTTAAGGAATTGTGAATTTGCTGTTTTTCTTTCTTTCTAATAACAGCTGTACACTTTGTAAGAAAGTTTAACAAATTAGTATATTTCAATTATGATGTTAACAAATCATAAGATTATGAAAGTTGTTTTCTGTTAAATTCATTATCATTTTTATTTAAAGATTTTTCTTCCATTTTAAATAAAAAAAAATCATTTTCCTAGGATATATTGAAAAAAAGAAAAAAAAAAGTGTTTAAAAAGATAATAATAATCTTAAATTTCATGAATTATATCTGTATTTATTGATGTCTATGCTTGACTTTAATTTTACAGTTCGGTTTTATCAACCAAATAGCTATTAAAAAAAAGAGAACAGAATTTCTTTATAATCTTACAATAGTATTATGTATTGCTTTTTTATAACCATTTTGAAGTGAAAGAAGAAAAGAAATCCTCAGTGTAAAGCAACCGATTCTTTCATTTCAATTTTGTCGTCTGCTTCTAACATTCTCTTTAATAGTTTCTTTTGAACTGAAGAGCAATTCATTTTATCAACTGTAAAGATTCCGTCCTCAGATTTCTTATTCCCTTCACTTATCAGTATTTTCAAATGTTCAACTTTTACGCTGTCGCAAGAGGGTGCTGAAAAGTTTGCAACTCAACCAAGAAGAGACTTTTAAAAAATTCTCAAATGTTTGATGATTTTTGTCACATTATAAAAAGTTTTCCAACACCCCAACCTATATATTATTACTGATCTAGTTTTTTTTTCTCTTTCTTGTATTTATGGTAGGGTGGGGGAGTTCTATAGTTGAAAAGCAGTTTATTCTTGACCCAATTTTTTTTTTCTTTATACCTGTAAATCCTTTAATAATAATATTACTTTTGTAATCAATAAAACTTACAATAAAATGATTCCACCTAAAAATGTGACAATAATTATTGATAAATGATGTTTTTTTTAATGTTTTCTCTCTTGGCTCATTTCCTCCCCTTATTTCTTAATGAAAATCATTTCTCTTTTTTTGAAGTTAAATGTTTACCCAAGTAAGTGAGGATTCAAAAGAAATTTCTGAATTCTTCTATTTTATTTATTTATTACTTTTGGCAATATATATATATATATATATATATATATATATATATATATATATATATATATATATATATATATATATATCCAAAAGTAATATATATATATATTCATTAAATATGACAGACAAGGTGTGTTGATTAAGTTTTTTTATATAATTTCTCATGATCTTATAATTTTTTTTCTTTTCAAAAGATAAATTATACAAAAACTGTCCAAATGTTATATTTTCTGAGTACTTTCGGCTATACATTTAGCCATTTTTAAGGATGAAATTTATTAACTGGAAATGGATTGTTGTATGTATTTATTATTATAGAATGTTTTATTTTCAAAAACACAGTTAACATAATGGAAGCCTTATTAATAAAAAACACCAACACTTAATAATATCAACTATGAACATGGACACAATATGTTGACTGTGTTTTTGAAAATAAAACATTCTATAATACTAAATAAATACATACAACGATCCATTTCCAGTTAACAGTTAATAAATTTCATCCTTGAAAATGGCTAAATGTATAGCCAAAAGCACTCAGAAAAATATAACATTTGGTCAGTTTTTGTATAATTTATCTTCTGAAAAGAAAAAAAACTTATAAGATCATATGAGAAATTATATGAAAAAAAATTAATCAAAGCATCTTGTCTATCATATTTAATGAAGCTTGCATGAAAGAAGGATTGCTACCTGAATACACAGTGGCATGACTTTGAGTTTTCATGCACAAGACAATTTTCAGGTGCTGAATTGAATTGAGTCTCAATACAGGACCAGAAGACTGCATTATGCATGTAACTCAGTCATGGTACTGGTGAGGGTGGGGATGTACATTTATTAATATATAGTTTATAGCTTTGTTATTTTGCAATGAGCACTATTTTCTTAACACCAGCACTCAGTGTGCAATATTATACTATATATTTTACTTTTGTAAAAGTAATTTTTTGTATGTATTTGTTTATCTTGCAAGTTAATATTTTTTTTATTTTATTTAATTTTTTTCATTTTTTAAAAAAAATTTTTATTTTATTTTTCTTACTTGTTTTTGCCATCATGCACACACATGCACTTGTCTTGATATAGGCTTAACTCAGCCAAATATCTTCATTCCATCTACTCATGCAAACAAATTAAGCCAAATCAAATATTTTTGTTTCTCCTTTATCCAAAAAGCATGGTAACTCTTTAATCTTATCAAAATACACAACTAAATGGAAAAAAAAAAAAAAAATCTCCATCTTTCAAGCCCTTTTTCTCTTTTGGAATTCATTCATATCAATTCTCTCTCTTTCTCTCTCATCCTGCACAACAGAATAATACAACTTTGTAAATACAAAAACCAAAATATCACTCGATTCATTCTATTTTTTATATTTATTTATTAGCATCCCTAAACTCTTTAAAATCATATCTAGAAGAAATTCTTTCTTTGCTACTGTTAGGTCCTTTTTCAATACATTGTACAATACAGAATTACCATAGACAGTGGCAAGATTTTACAAGATAAAAGTAAACTAAATTATTCTGGAATTAACAACCAAACATGGATATATCTGCTGAATTACCACTCTCCTATTAAAAAATAATCCGTCCATTAAAAATGAAGTAAATTTTGTTTTCTTAAGGGATTTATTTCAATTGTCATTTTTATCGTTAGGGGAAAAAAAAAATTTTTTTTTAGTAATTTAATTTTCCACCTAACAGTTTTTGTTTTTATTAACTCCACCAAAGCATCAGCTGAATAATATATATATATATATATATATATAACGAAATGAAAGAAGTCTAAGAATTATTTTAATATATGTATTGTTTGTACATTATTTTTATAGATACAAATATCTAAGTAAATGCTCTGTTTATAATAAACAGCATTACCAATATTTACCGGCCTGAATTTATGAAATTTCTTGGACATTCAGGCCAGTAAATGCTATTAATA